TGCGCCAACATCTTAGGTCATTAATGGCATATACAAAATATAGTGATAGGGTGGGGCTTGGAGGCAATCCCCCAAGTAAGAAAGTTTTCGGTTTCAGTTAGCTGAGGTTTGTGGATTTCCAGAATGGTCAATATGGTCTCCTAAGTCCCATGACAATAACAAGCATACATAGCCACCAGCCACATGTACTATTAGTATGAATGTCTGTTTGGTCACAGATTTACACTACTACTGTGCTATGCTACATTGAAACAGCACGTAACACTATGACTAAAGGTACTTCTTGACAGAACTGCACTATGCCAAATTATTTGTAAAGGTGCCATTGGAGTGAATGGTAGTATTATGGACTTTGGCAGCTAGAATTATATTGATTAAAGGAAAGTTTAACCCACTGATGCAGGGATGGCAAACATACATGCCATGTTCACTGAGCTTTTTTGTTTATTGGTTGTCTTTACACATACATAACTGGGTGCTACTGGTATTGTTAATAATATAATAAGCATGATGCCAATAATAACATCAATATAGATATTATTAGCATTAGAAAAAACTTTTTTCCTGAAAACGGGGAAAATGGAAATCAGGTAAGGTCATGTGAGCAGCAATGGGTTATAGTTGCAATGGCTTTCATTCTGGTTGATTTTATGCTTTGGTTTATCTAAGCAATATATATAGCAGTCATATGTCTAAAAGATAGTAGAACCAGCCAATTATGTACTCATGGATAAAAGAAAAGCAAAAGATTGGTCTTTAGACATCCCAATATGAACTGGTAGGTTGGACTTTATTTTATTTTGCCAGTCAGATTTTTTTTTTTTTGGTCACCATAAAAAAGATGCCATTCATTGTTCTAAAATTTTCAGATAATTCCCATACAGTATTTATTGTATGGGAGTTCTGTCAGGTTGGACAGCTCACAATGCTCAGTGGTTTGTTTCTTTGTTTTTCTATCTGGTCTTACTAAAAAAAAATCAGATTTATAAGGGGAAAAATATATTTATAGAAAGACAGATAGATATAGATAAACAGACATAAAATACTGGCACTTCAACTAAAATGTGCATCAAGAAAGTTCAGAATATCTTGAAGTAAATATATACACAATAAACTTTATATTGCTGGACACTGAATTTTATTAGCTTTCAATGCCATTAATGATATGACCAATATTTTTCATTCTTTTAATAAAAAATAAATATAAGAACAGTATTAAATGATATATCATTTTTACTTATTTTAATATCCATAACTTATCAATATGAAATATTTGTTACAGACACTATTGACACAAACTTGTTGCAACTGTTAAGAACAAATTACATATATTTGAAGGTTTATCATTTGCATTCGGTACATGCACTGTTCATTTTAATTTTATTTTGCAAATTTTGTTTACACATATCTACCTCATCTGAATGAAGTATATATGGAATTATTTGTATTTTTCAAGACCGCCATTATCACTGCTGATATTGCTATATTTGGATGTGAATTGTGACATTATGTGAAGGAGTTATAAACATGAAGATCCCTTTCTACAGCTTTAACAGTTTGTATTTTTAATGAACACAGATTTCTTAACCCATGCTGCCAGGATGGCATGTGAGATATGCCATGTCCATTGTGAGGGTAGTTTGTTAACTGTATTTATACACCCACAAGTGCTTAATCACTATGGACTCAATTACTAATTCTACTTATCTCACCTGTTTACCATTTTGCTTGATTTTTAAAAATATTTACATTTATATTTATTTTATATTGCTAATAGTTTTGTTAATAATGCTTTATCATAATGTCAATGATAATAATTGCAGCACTGATATTAATAGCATTAGAAAACAAAACTATTTTTCCAAAAAATTCAAAGAAAAGAGACATCAGGTGGGGTCATATAAGTCTTGTGAAAAGACAACCTGATGGGCAGGTTCATCCACAAGGAAATGAGTTAGGTGCTCATATAACCTGAGTTTGTGGTCCGGCAGTATGAGGGCCATGATCAATAGTTCCTTGGTCCTTCTGTACAGGTACCAACATCTCCATATACTCTTGTTGACTGGATTCATGGCACTTGCTGACAGGCCTATGCATCTGCTGACTTCCTGGTCTGACAACTCAGCATCATGCACTATAGAACCAAGGTATGTAAAGCTCACAGTGACTACAGTGTCCTCACCACAAGCTTGAACTGACAGCATAGGTTCTCCCAGCAGGCCCCTAAAATCACATATTTTGGTCTTGGTCCAAGAGACGTTAAAACCCAAGGGCTTCATAGCATTATTAAACGCATCGAGAACTACCACCAGATTCCAAACATAGGATAGCAATATTGTCAGCAAAGTCAAGATCTGTGACCTGACTGACTAGTGTTGATCCATGGTGACTTTATATAGTAATTCTACCCATTTGCCAGTCCATGCAAGTATTAATAAGTGTTAGTGTGATAATACAGACTTGCTTGACATGCTTGCTTGAATTAACAGGAATGGAACTCAAACACACCACACTTTATAGCACTTTCAATGCTAGTATACAGGCTCAAGATCTCCCAGGGAAATTTGCGATGCATAAGTCAAATGCCTTCTTGAAGTCAATGTAAGCTGTGAGCAGCCCATGTCCAAACACATGACGATATTCCACAAATATTCACAGCACTAGGGCTTGGCAGATTAGGTGCCTTAGTGGGTGGTCTCGGATATGTCTCAGAAGAATGTGAGTGAGAACCTTGCCTGGTATACTGTGTAGTTTAATGTCACGGTAGTTGCTAGTTTCCACTTCCGGGGAGGGATGGTGGTGCTCCTAAGCAGGTCGGGAAATGATATCGACTGCCAGGTGTTAGTAATTCTGCAGGGATACCTGTATCACTATACCATGTCCAGCAATGTCAGTGCTGATATCAGGAGCCAGATATCCTCAGTCTCTGGGACCTAGCAAAGTCCCGGAAGAGGCTATTCTTAATGCTGGAATCAGCTGAGCCATGCGAACCAACATACATCTCACGACCAGGTTAATCACAAGTAGATATTGCATTGAAGCCTCCACGAACAATGCAAGTTTTGAAGTTGGGTGGTGGTTATGACTACCCCTGGATATAGTGACCACCACTCTGGCCCGCGCCACAGCCAGGTCTTCTCACCTCCAAGATGGCAGCCATCTCAAATCAACCGCTTGAATTACTTCGATAACAGGGTAATTTATCATCCTGCCGCAAAGACCAGATGTTCCAGACAGCCTGCCTGAGGTTAAGCCTCTTGTAGTCACTCTGGGTGGATGTCACTTCTGACACCCTTGCCGACGTTGCCCCTTATAAAGGGAGAGTAGCAGTCAGTGGGACCAGCTTCCATTTTCTACTCTTTACCTTCTCCCCCCCCCCCCCTCCTTGGATTTCTCCACATTTTATATGTATTTTATTCGATTCGATGGGACCAGTCTTCAGGCTAGTACAGTGGTAACGTGTCGGCCTCTCATCCGAGGGGTCGGCGGTTCGCGCCCTGTCCAGGCGCGAGAAGTTGCAATTGTCGCCTGGAGGTTACTGCTGTGGCTGGGCACCACGGTGGGTAAGGACTAAGCTCTGCCGAGTCAGCACCTGCTGACACACTGTAAGCGAGTCGAAATTAGTCGGCACAGGCCGGGCTCCCCCATAGCCCGGGCGAGGCTCAGCTTCGCATATCGGACTTATCCTTATCAGTGGGACCCATCGTCGACTCTGATCCCACTGGCGGCTGCAAGGCCGTAGGTAGGTCAATTACCACCTACTTCCACATTGTGCCTTGGCAGTTGCCATCCTAACAGGCTTCATCCTTCCCCTAGCATCTCCATTTGTAGCACTGCCGTCGACAAGGCTCACCTTCCTGAGAATCTTTCAAAGCGGAGTTGTGTGTAATAAGAGGGTGACAAGCACATAGGATTTAATGCCATGATGCAGTGCAGACCTTGATAATTTAAAAGGCATTTCCGAATATAATGAAGCAAATTGTGACCCATTTATGTTAACATTCATGGTTTCAGGAAAGGAAATTTACATTAAATTTTATACAAATATAAATTCACTAAACATTTTGTTACCAAGTACTCCTTAAATAATTCACATATTTCTGTATATTTTGTATTACTCGGTTGTGGGAGTACAATTTATTGCTTCAGCCTCCCGTAGATCTGCAATTGCTTCCATTGGGGTAAACTATGTATTTTTTTAGATGCATTAATATTATATGGGAATGAAGGCGTGTTATATATCGTAATTCGACATATTCAGATATAAACCACCAGAAATACTTGTACGGATTCATTGTACAGGATGATACATTTGGTAAACACATAGGGAGGAGGAAGGAGGAAGTGAGAGTGAGCATGAGACTGAGAGTGTGTGTAAGTTGGAGGGAATGTAGGTACGTAAGTAGGTAGTTTGGATCCGAATAAGCAATACCCACTGTCATAGGTCTGTCCCGCCTCTAGCCTCCAGTTTCCTCTCTGCTACCTCGGTTATTGATAAATATTGTACGAACAGAACATATTCTAGATACATGAATAACCAAACTAAGAGGCATGAAAAAATGACGTGAATACGTATAGAACGATAATATCTAACGTCACGAGATCTTTCGAGCATCTGGCAGCTTAATGAACGCAACTATC